GATTCATAAGCATTTATTGATCCTTCAGCATACCTTCTCAGACTAACAGATTCCTGATATTGTATTTACTTTACAGAATTAGGATGATGAGTCTCTCTTCCGAGGTTTTATAAAAGTCAGAGAACCCAGAAGGCCCATAATTAGGCTTTTTGCACCCTGCCTTTCAGGCACAGTGTGTAGGAATTCCAGTTTGGAATATATCTGCACATTTTAATGTGTCTCCTGAGTTGAGTATATGATACCCTTGTGGGAACTACAGATATGTTTTCCTCTAAGAAGGAACAGTGCTTCTGTGTTTGGGAAGGCCTTTCCATGACACCATGTGCCATCGTTATTACATCTTTTGTTTTCGTGTCTGGGGATCTTTCCATCACTAATTTAATAAACATAGCTTATTATAGTGAACAGCCGTTTTTGGACCTGCCCTGGCTCCTTTTCAGATTCATTTTTTTCTTGCCCGTTGTTGTCCTTGTCATTCCTCTACTTGAATTCCTCAGATTCAGAGATTGTGCTTCGGTTTCTTTGATTAGGCCTTAAAAATGCCAACAACATATACACTCAAGATGACACTCAGTGGGGGCTGATAATTGCCTAGAAATCAGGCTAGCTTTATTTGTATGGGGTGAAGAAGAGAACTTTGGGAATAATTATCTTAATAAATTAACAATGTATTATGTTCAAAAATTAGGAGAATAACAGAATAACATAGATGTTAATAAAAAGGAACCAATAAAGCTGAGAGCATACATGCATGTACTAGAAAGCAAATAAACAATAGAAGACAACTAAAAATTGTTATTTAAAAACAATAATAAAATAGACAAACAGGCAAGATTGATCAAGAAAAAAATGTTGGAGGTGAAAAGGGAACAACTACAAAACCAATATAAATTTTAAAAATAATACAGTATGCTATTCAAATAGATCTATAAAAATAAAGGATAATTTCTAGCTTTACTAAACCTTCATGTAAAAGAGAAACTATCTTTTTCGTCCCATTCAATAGAAAGAGAAAGAAACTCACTTCTGTTATCTACCTTGTTTTACCTTGGTAACACACCGGACAAGGTCAGTATGAAAAAAACATAATTAGAGACCATCTCACTTATAAACATATAAGCAAAAAATTCAAAATAAGGCATTAACAAATGAGATCGAAGAATATTGGAAAAATATCATACATCAGGGCTAAGAGAAGTTCATTCCAGGAATGCAAAAGAAAAGCCTATGAGAAAGATATCCAATAGATCCCAACTGAGGAACGGTCTATAAAGCAGTACTCCTTAAAACCATGAAGGTTATCAAACACAAAGAAAGTTTTAAGAAAACTCACAGTTGAAAGGAGGCTATGGAAACATGACAGCTATTTGTTATGTGATATCCTGGATGAGATCCTGGAACAGAAAAAAGAATTACATAAAAACTAAGGAAATCTCAATGAAGTGTAAACTTTATAATCATCTTTTAGTATTGGTTTGTTGTAATAAATATTCCATTTGAATATAAGATGTTAATAGTGGAGAAATTAGATATGGAGTATATGGGAACTCTGTAGTATTGTCACAATTTTTTATAAATCCAAAATTGTCTTAAAAAATAAATTTTATTTGGCCGGGCACGGTGGCTCAAGCCTGTAATCCCAGCACTTTGGGAGGCCGAGACGGGCGGATCACGAGGTCAGGAGATCGAGACCATCCTGGCTAACACGGTGAAACCCCATCTCTACTAAAAAAATACAAAAAACTAGCCGGGCATAGTGGCGGGCGCCTGTAGTCCCAGCTACTCGGGAGGCTGAGGCGGGAGAATGGCGTAAACCCGGGATGCGGAGCTTGCAGTGAGCTGAGATCCGGCCACTGCACTCCAGCCTGGGTGACAGAGCGAGACTCCGTCTCAAAAAATAAAAAAATAAAAAATAAAAAAATAAATTTTATTTTAAAAAAACTAATTCAGGGAAAAATTACCAAATATAAAGTAAATGCATTAAAGCCAACAAAAATTATAAAATAAGTGGCTTTTAAAAATAAGCAAGAGGAATGTGTAACAAAGACAGTACAAATTGTAATAATGCATATTATTAAAGACAGTAGAGTGAACAAACACAAATAACCCCACTTATTCTCCAAACCCTACCTAAGCCACATTGAAAGGATTTATATTAAATAAGACATAAATCCACAAGGGCAAAGATGGCAGGAGAAAGACAGTAGCAACCAACTTCTTGAAGTTACAGAACAGGTGGCCTGTGGTAAATGAATTGGCAGACCTGAGAATATTAAATCCTGTGTCAGTAGTAGGGAAAGCCAAGAAACAACCTGACTTAAATTAATGCGGGTTCTCTGAAAGGGTTAGAAAATTTCCCATACCAGGTAGCTACAGAAGTAGGAAGTGATGATGGGGCTGAAAACAGAAAGACTGTAAGTCTGTTTAAGAACTAGTTAGAGCTCTGTTGCCATGGGCCACTGCTTTTTCACCCTAGAAGATGGTACAAGTAAATTTGGGGGGGTGGGGGTTGTGGCTTGGAGTCATCAACACGTCTGAGTGCAGAGATGCTGTCTTGAAGACAGAGGGATTAAAGGAGAGTTTACATACTCTTTGAGCAGGAGAGAGTCTTTCGAATTCCAGGAAAAAAAAACCACAAAACTCAACATACATATATCTGAGGTTCTTCAGGAACACAGTGAAACTGACCGAAGACCATGCCTGCTTATGGACTCTGCTTCTATTCGGTCCTGAGCATGTAGAGCTGTCAAATATGTTGGTGGAGAAATGAGTTTAAACTTGAGGAAAGAAATCCAGGCCAGAAGTGGGCATGTAGAGCTGTGAGTATATGGAGGGCATTGAAATATGTATGGCAGTAAGTCTGTATGAGATTAAGAAGGGCATTAGTATAGATAGAGAAGACAACAACTCCAGGGCCCTTCAGTGTCCGCAGTCCATGAGATGAAGAAGCACCAGCAAAAGAAGAAGACCAGGTGAGAGTCATACCTGGGGGTCAAATGGTTGAAGCGTTTCAGAAAGCAGACATGATTACCTGAATCAAATGCTACTGAGGACTGGACATTGAGCACTGCATTAAACAACATGGAAGTCTTTGGTGGCCTACTCAAGTACCATGCCAGTGGAGAAAAGGGAGAGAGCACATGGGGGCTGAGGCTATGACATGTGAGAACAGAGACTGAACTTTGTGCAGAGGCTGCAGGTTGGAGATGTGGAAACCAGAATTAAAAAACTGAGCTGCGGGAGATTAGAGGAATGTGCTTGGCCATGGAAGCAAATAGATACATAATTGTGGAAAAAGGGCCTGAGGAAGAAGCGTTAAATGCTGCAAGGAAGTCAAAAGGATGAAGAGTGAGAAAATACAATGTGCAGTTAAAATGCTTGCCTCTGTTGATTATTATATACATACTATGAAATACAATTTTTTTGTTATAATACATCATTCTTTAAGTGGTGCCTATGTGTCTTTGGCTGCTTTTCCATTTACTCTAAAAATGTAAAGGCTTATGATTTTAGGAAGCTGGAGACTTATTCAAATCAGTCTCCCCTAGCCTTTACTCATCCTAAAGCAACAGGTATCCAAAGAACAAAATTCTGTAACTTAATCCATAAAATTAGATATACATGTAAATCATTAAATTCTTCTTTAACTATTTGTTTCAATGCACAAAGTTTCATATTTCATAATTAAATATATATTACAAAGACATTCTATGCCTTGAACTTGTTAGCATACTCCCATCTCACAGCCTTTGCTCTAGCTTTTCTCCCTAACTGGCTCTTCCCCACATAGCTGCACAGCCCATTTGCACATCATCTTCAAGTTCGAGTCACATGTTACTGCATGCTTAAAATCTTTAGTCACTGGAGAACTGCAAACAAAAACCTCAATGAGATAACTGCTCCATGCCTATAAGAATGGTTAAAATTTTAAAAACTGACAGCATCAAGTTCTAGCAAGGATGTAGAACAAGTGGAACTCTCATACTTTGCTCGCAGGAGTGCAAACCGTAACAGCACTTTGGACAACAGTTTGACAGTTTCTTTCTTCAGTTTAATGTTTATTAAGCATACACTTATGATTGGACCCAGGAATCTCACTCCTAGATATTTACTGAAGAGAAATGTAAACATATGTTAACACAGAAGCTTGTACATGAATGTTTATGGCAACTGTATTCATAATTGCCAAAAACAGGAACCAATCTAAATATCTACAGGTGAATGGATAAACTATGACACATCTATGAAATAGAATATTAATAGCAATAAGAAGAAACAACTGATACCCACAGCTGTATAGATGAATCTCAAATGCATTTTGCTGAGTGAAAGAAACCAGACAGAAAGGCTACAAACTGTAGGATTTCATTCATGTGACATTCTGGAAAAGGCAAAACTATAGGAACAGAAAACAAAGCAGTGGTTGCAAGAGGCTGAGAATAGAGGAAGGGGACCAATTATGAAGAGGCATTTTTTGGAGTGATGAGATCTTCCATATCTCAATTATGGTGGCAGTTTATGGCAACAGTTACATGAATGTATACATTCCTTAAAACTCCTTAAACCTGAAAGGGAGATTTCCTGTATGCACATCTTACCCCCATGAACCTGACCTAAGAACAACAACTACCTCAAATGTTACTCTGGCATTGAGGCTTCCCTGGCCACCCATTTCCATGGCACTGTTTCTCACCTATCCTGCTCAAGGTTCTCCCTCTTCCTCTCCCCTGGTTTATAAAACCCATCACAGGGTCTCCAGGAACTGTTATGTCATGTCTTAGCTTTTTGCTCTTTTAGTTTGAAGAATGAAAATCATTTGACTGTTCTTCATTGATCCTGCTTTTCTCTTGTTTTAAATTCTCAGCTGTTTCACATTTTTTTCTTTAATTATTTTACTTTGAATACATTAATTTTTAAGAATAGGTAATTTGTCTTAAAGACAAAAGATATGATGAAATCAAGATTGTTTACAAGGTTAACAGATACGTTTTTCTGCATAGATAGCAGTGAGTGCCTCGCAGATGACTGTAGTATAATCGCCGGGGGGAGCCTCACTGGTTGGCACCCAGACTCTGCTGCTGTGTTGTGGCGAAGGGTCTTGGGGATCCTTGGAGATGTGAATAACATCCAGTCACCCAAGATCCATGCCAGAGTTTTCTGCTATCTCTATGAACTCTGGTACAAACTAGCAAAGGTAAGTCCTGCTATATTACTTTTTATTCTAATCCAGGAAAATGGTCGTATCATTTAATGTAAAAACTGTGTTGCAGTTAATTACTGAACATATTCTGAAACACAAATGGTACATTTAGACAAAGTACATTTGATTATGGAAGAGTAATCATATATAACATGAATATTTTATAAATGCAAAAGTTGTTTCATTTAGTGCAAAAGTAGAATATCGCTATAGGATATTAAATACAGGATGTTAAGTAGTTCTAGTTACTCTCTTTATAAAAGTGATACTGGTTTTATTGTGTAAAATTTGAAAAATGTAGAAAAATACAAAGAAGAAAATTAACATCACTATTCATAGAAATAGCCAATATTAATATATAGTCTTCTTTCTTTTTACGAAAGTAGAATCTTAGAGTACATACAATATTTTTTTTTTTTTTTGAGATGGAGTCTTGCTGTGTCGCCTAGGCTGGAGTGCAGTGGCGCCATCTTGACTCACTGCAACCCTCTGCCTCCCAGGTTCAAGCAATTCTCCTGCCTCAGCCTCCCGAGTAGTATATACAATTTTTATTCTGATTTTTGTTTGGGTTCTGACATTCACATGTTATTAAATTTTTTTTTCAAAAACATGGTTCATGTTTGTTCACTATAACTCATTAAAACGTTACTTATCATTTGGAATTCAGTACCTCCCCAGCCATTAACGTTCAAGGAAAAGCAATGCCTTTGTTTTGTATTTAAATCTAAAACCACATACAGTGAGCCAAACATACAATTCAAAAGGATAATCTCACAACAAAAGAGAAACTTGTAAATATTACAGGTTTTCACTTAACTTATAGAAATTTAAGTGAAAGCAGCTATTTGGTCATGGAAAATAATGTTGAAATACTGTTAGGATAAACATAATGTTACCTACCCTAAAATTCTCCTCTTTGTGAATTAGATACGGGATAATCTAGCAATAAGCCTGGATAACCAGTCTTCTCCATCTCCTCCAGTTTTGATCCCACCTCTCAGAATGTTTGCATCATGGCTATTTAAGGCAAGTGGATGTGTGTTTATTCCTTTATTGCAATTTCCTCTTCCTTTCTGAAATTGAGTTTGAAAAATGTAATTGCCCAAGACTGCATGTTTTGAAGACAGGCTGGGTCTTACTAAAGTCACTGCATCCCACATGTCCATAAACAACTCTTAAGGAAAACTGAGAAGTAAATGAAATATTGAAATGCTCTGCACCTGGGCTTGATTTAATCTGGAAACATCATCTCCTTGACAGGCGGCGACACTGCCAAATGAATATAAGGAAGGCAAACTGCAAGCCTACAGGCTGATCTGTGCCATGATGACCAGACGCCAGGACGTTCTGCCAAACTCAGATTTCCTGGTGCATTTTTATCTTGTGATGCACCTGGGATTAACCAGCGAGGATCAGGTATTCTGCGACTCCTTTATTGTGATTGCCCATTAATTGGAAATAGCATAGCATTCTTTAAAGGCATTAGTAAGATTTATGAAAATACATCAGAAGTGTTGAATTTCTCAGTAGCTTCAACTCTTTTACACACAGCAAGCACAGTAGTCTTTCAAAAATGTAAATCAGGTTTCACATCCCTGCTTCTTCTCCCCACTGACTTTGCAATTGCATTGTGCCAACCAAATTTTAATTTTATTCTTTGGCCTCTATGATCTAACCTCTGCCTGTGTTGTCAACCTCAAAATACTATTATAACCACTTTTTGTTTGAGTTCTGCATTAAATATGGTTTGAAGAAAGTGGTACTGATCATTTAAAAATGTTTGAAAATTGTTGTTTTAGTAGGTAGGATGTTTTTGTGAAAGACTTTACCTGTAAGGTAGAAGACGAGTCCAGACATTTCTTGATAAGGAGTTATTTTAATTTCTCCCAGTGCAATATAAGTTTGGTTCAAGTTCAAACAGAAAGGCCCAAGGAGCCACTAGCTACCTCTCCCTCCTTGTAGGCCCTGGGTTTGGGGGAGAGGATGTGGCCAGACCCTGACCTTCCTCCCCTGGGAAGACTTCTTCTAGTTGAGGGAGATTATGGATAGGGACACATGGACTCTTGACTTGATTTGGGATATCAAGCAGGCAAATGATGTGGTTGATTTATGCTTCACAGAGATTCTAGACTGCATTTGGAAGATGGATTTGAAAATGTGATAGTGATAGTGTGTGATAGTAGGATAGAATCAGAGATTGGCCTGTAGATGGAGAATTGTTAGGAAGTGTTTAATACAGATTTTAAAAAACGATAAGAACTAAGCTGGTAGCATTGGGGATGGAAAGAAAGCAATAGAAAAGATTCAAGAAATTTTAAGGCATTTCATTTTATTACTAGGTTTTCTTAACCAATTAGAGGTATAGGGAGTGTTTGAGAATTTACCCTTTAAATTGTAAATGCTTATTAATGAACTTGAATAATTTATTAACTATCAAGTAGCTGTCCTTTCTGCATTTTTTGTATTCTTTGAAGGTATGATGCAGACACACAGACCTTTTGATACCGCTAGGGTACACGTAAGAAGTTCTCCTGATAAGCAAACTTTTTTTTTTTTGAGACGGAGTCTCACTCTGTCGCCCAGGCTGGAGTGCAGTGGCGTGATCTCCGCTCACTGCAAGCTCGCCGCCTCTCAGGTTAACACCATTCTCCTGTCTCAGCCTCGCTAGAAGCTGGGACTACAGGTGCCTGCCACCACGCCCAGCTAATTTTTTTGTATTTTCAGTAGAGATGGGGTTTCACCATGTTCGCCAGGATGGTCTCGATCTCCTGACCTCGTGATCCGCCCGCCCGATCCGCCCACCTCGGCCTCCCAAAGTGCTGGGATTACAGGCATGAGCCACCACGCCCTGCCAATAAGCAAACTTTTTTTGTTGCTTTAAAATGTACTTGAATTTAAAGAGTTTGCAGTATGTATTTTACAATTTTGAACTTTAAAAATCATTGAACTCTTATATGAAATAATAACCATAACCGTTGTGATTTTAGCGGTGTATAGAGGACATCCATGTAGCAGGCTAGCTTAGACCCATAATCTCATTTATTTCCTAGATAAATATAGAAATAGCGACATAGAGTGGAATTGTTTGTACTCTCTGCTCAAATATTTTACAGCCATCTTTGCAAGTGGAAGCATCTTTTACAGAATGATGCAACTCAGGGTATGTGGAGAATTATGGGGTATAGAAAAGAGAATTAACTCTCAGATAATAGTGAACTCCTTCAGTGAAAGAAGCAAAAGAGGAGGGTTTACTTAACAATGCTCTACTTTTAAGAAGCCTTTTGCTAATATTTTGCAGGAAAAAAACATTTAATTGGAAAAAATCATTAACTATAGATCCTTATCATTTTATAAAAACAAGTAAGTTAGCAGTAAACAATGTTCCTTAGAATGAGTTTTTTAGAAAGTCACATAAATAGGTGAGTTTAGAATTATCTTTCTGTTTTAAGATGTGTTGATGTGGAAATGAAATAGTAAAATGAGATGAAATAAGAGTATGTTATATAGCATTTGAGAACCTGAAAAAAAATTATTTTACAAATCATTTTCAAGAAATATGATTTTGTAGTACAGACAAAATAATTTCCAAATTTTGTGCTTAAAATTGTTTTTACATCGTAATGCATATTATGTTTTTAATTAAGTTAAAGTTCAGTATCTTTTATAGTTCATAGTAGAATACATAAATCTTAAAGGATGGTCCAATGCTAACAGTAATCCCAACATTTAGACTTCTGAGACAAAATGAGGATATCATAAATCTCTATTTAAAATCAGCCTATTGTTTAGGCTATTAGAAGCTTGAATTTTTATGTGAGTTTAATAGAGTTGACTGTTTTCTTTAACCTTAACAATTATTGTTATATATTTTAGAAGCCCTGACTGTCTGCAAAACAGAATTACTCTAAGTAAACTTTATTCCTTTGCCAAAAGAAAATTACGCAGAAGACCTAATGAAAGAAACTTTTTTCATTTAAGTTAAGAAATGTCTCTGGTAATTAGTTTAACTTTTGATCCACATGTCTAAATAGATCATAGTGGTTGTCCCAGAACTTATGTAATTCTAGAAACACATGTTATATTCATTATAAAAAGAAAGCATTTGCTGTAGAGAATACAGTTAAATTCAATTTTTTAATTAACTGTGTACCTGTGACTGGTACCATCTCAGGGCTTCTATTTTGTGAGAATTCTCAAAGGGCCACACTTTTATATATCCTAGCACTAAAAGGATTTATTTATGCAGAGAGAACCTTATGAAAGATGTCCTGTGTTTTTAAATAAATAATCATAAATAATTGTTTAAAATTGAACATTATCAGTTTTGTCTCACAAATAAAATCCAAGGTGGGTTTCTTCTTTTTGCCTCTGGGTGGCACACTTGTCTGCACGACACAGCTTTGTGGTTCATGGGCCTTTGAACATTATGCTGTGTATGGCATGGTTGTTTTATGAAGTTCTTTCTTAAATCTGAAGGTATCAAAATTATGTCAGTAGTGACCAATAAAGTGTTGAATTAAATAAGTTATAAGATGCTAAAAATATGTTCAAACATAATGATGTTCATAGTAATTGAAGACATTTTTTAGTTTAAAAAACAATTTGTAAAGTAGATGTCTCACAAGTTGTGTTCTCTGGCAATCCTGGAAAGTTACAGTTTCATCTAATATGATAGAAAATTTATTATGTAAACAGACTTGGCCATTTGTATCTTAAAAAATAATAATACATATATCAGAAAAAATGTAGTGCATTCCAAAACAACTGTTTTTAGTATTTTTAACCAGTTTTAATTATCCTAATAACTTATGTAATACTAACACAATGCATTTATCAAGTAGTATTTCCCACGGTCCGTATGTAACATGGGTTCGTGGTTGATTGCTGCGATCGAAAACATGGTTTGAAATGGCTTTATTTTTTCCTTGACAATGAATTTTTTAAAAATTGATTTTACCAGTTTACAAAATAATTAAGATTATAAACAGTTCCGGAATAACTGTAAATTATCAAGAAAATTTGGCGTGACTTTCAAGGCTACCCAGCCTGCCTGTAAAGGAGTCTCCCGGTGCGCTTCCGTCTGCTCAGCTGCTTTGTGTCTGGTGGGCTGGTGGTGGTGCTTAGGGGTATTTATTTCTTCAGCACTCACAATGCTGGACTGTGTGCTGGGGACTGCATGATGTTGTACCATTGAATCTTCTCTGCAATTCAATTCAATAAATACCATGGCCTATTTTATTTTATTTTATTTTTTTAGAGATGGGATATCACTCCATTGCCCAGGCTGGAGCGCAGTGGCACAATCATAGCTCACTGGGCTCAAGCAGTCCTCCCATCTTGGCCTCCCAAAATGCTGGGATTACAGGTGTGAGCCATAGCGCCCAGCCCCTGAGGCCCATTTTATAAATAATGAAGCTTCAAAAAAGTATCAAAAACTTTTGCCCAGTGCCACAGGCTAAGAGGCTGTTAGAATTCACATACAGGCTTGGCTTATTCCACCAGGAATGGTTTTTTTTATTGATTCACAGCTAGCGTGTTGGTGCAACAGTCCTTGATGTTGTTTCTCCCTTCTGTTTTATTTTGCCTAGGCTCTGCCCTTGGTCCCACTCCACTTCAGAATCCTCCTTGTTAAAGTACCCCGCCCCAACCTGGAAAGGCCTTTCCACAGTTGCCTTCTCAGTTCTTCATTGTCCTTCAGTGTCTCTTCTAAAGCTGTTTCTCGTTCTTTGTTTTTCCTAACACTTAAGCAGCTTTTTCACCTCAGAATTCCCCAAAATAGTTTGACATGAAAGGACTTATGATTTGGATTTATTAAAAACAGTTTCTGTTAATTTCATGATTATTTAAAACAGATGGAAAGATCAATATGTGTGAAATAGAAAAGGACAGTTGAGGAAAGGAATTTTATTTTCATGTTTGTAAGAACACGTATCAGAGACTGGAAAGTTTCCTTTGCTTATTTGTGAACTATTTTTTAACAATGACTTACAGATTTAATGTCTTAATGTAATTTATCTGTTATACATCAAAGTTAAATTCTCTTTTAAATGTAAAACCTACATTAATGTAAAATTATTGTTGCAAATTTGCATATAGACATTTTGGGAAATGTGAGTCTTTGTCATTTTCATCTATAATGTTGTATTTTATAATGCACCAAAAAAGCATGAGGCCTCTCTCCAATGCAGAAGTGTTTGTTGTTCTGCCCTGAGGTAACATATTTGGATCGTAACAGCATAAAGTTAAGATCTAGTGTGATAGTGTGATAAAATGTCTTCATTAACAGCGCGGGCCTCAAGTCAGCTTGTCTAATTTCCAGTCTTGGCTTTGTTACTTATTAGCGAAACCATTTGGGTTTGCTCTGCCTTGGCTCCCTTATCTATAGAATGAGGATGATAATGGTGCCTACCTTAGAG